GCCGGGGACCGCTCCGCCCTCCCTCCCGGCTCGGCCCGGCCGCGGCCTCGACCACGGGCCCCCCCCTGCTGCCCGTCGGCCCTCGGTGGTCTCTTCGGCGGTCTTCTGATCTTCGGGGCTGCCTGGCGGCCTCCGGCGCGAGAGCCGTGGAGTGGCGCGCGCAGCGAGGTCGCCGTCGCTCGGACGTCCACCTGTGGGTCCCCCCGCTGCCCCGTCGGCCCCGGGTGCGCGCGGCCAGCCCTGGGCCGAGGGGTTTCTGCGGGGGCGGGCCGTGCTGCCGACGTGTCCCGAAGGCTGGGTCGCCCGGCCGTTGGGGGCCCAGCCCCGCAGAACAGTGCGCGCGCGCACGGAGGCACCCATCATCTTGTCAGGCCCCAGCGGGCGCCCAGGAGAGGCACCTGGGGGGCAACCGCGGGCGCAGCCCAGGAAAGGCACTCGGGAGGTCTTCTGGCGGTCCTCGGCGGTCTTCGGTGGCCTTCGCCAGGCTTCGGGGCGGCCCGGCGTCCTTCGGCGCGCGAGCCGGGCGGGCGCGCTCAGCGAGGTCGCCATCGCTCGGACGTCCATTCCCCGTGCATTTGTCGGTCTCGCGCGTTCCCTTCCTCTCTCTCTCTCTCGTAGGATGATCCACGATGCTTCTCGATGCTCCCCGCCGAGAAAGCATGCACACGCCGGAGCGATGCCGGGCCTCGGGGCCCCTGGTCGAAGACCCGAGCGCAGGAGCTTCGGCCTGGGAGGGTCCGGCAGCGCCGAGGGAGGCCACCACCACCAGGGGGGGCGCCGCCCCTTCGAGGAACTCCGCCATCCTCCTGAGGAGATGCGCTTTTTCTTTGGTTTGGACTTTTTGAAACTCCACAGCCATCCAAAAACGACCCCCAGACAGCCCAAGTCCCCTCGAGCTCCGACCCTGGAGCCTCGACCCTCAGGAGGGGCTGGCGACTGCCCGAGAGGGGCGCGAGTCTCGGCTGCACGAAAGAGTGGCCCCAGGCCAGGGTGGCCTCCGGTGCGCGGCTTCAGGGGGGCCCTGCAGGTAGGGGGCCGCATGCGAACCCTGCCCCTGCCCCCCACGATTTCTGAGGGGGAGGGTGGGGTAGGCTCCCGAGCGGACTGAACCCCACCCTCCCCCTTAGAAATCGTGGGAGGTAGGGGTAGGCTCCCGAGCGAAGTGAACCCCACCCTCCCCCCCAGAAATCGTGGGGGGTAGGGGTGGGCTCCCGAGCGAAGTGAACCCCACCCTCCCCCTCAGAAATCGTGGGGGGCAGGGGTCGGGCTCGCGTGCGGCCCCCTGGCAGGGAGCCAACATCTACGCGCGCAGGCCAGTGCCTGGGGGCTCCTCCGTGCGCCCGCCGTGGAGGCCACTCCGGCGAGGGGCCGTGCTCACGCGCGGCCGAGCGGAACGCTCCAGAGCCCACCAGTGAAGGGGCCCCAGGGCACACAAATGAATACACACAAATAAAGATATTCCCCATATTTTCCCCATATTTTCTGGGTTTTTGTCTTCCCCCCCACTTCCCATGTTTTCCCGTATTTTCCTGGGATTCGACGATTAATTGTGTCTGTGTCCTTTTTCTTCTCCTGAACCAGAACGGTCCAAATGTCCCAAAGTCTTCTCGAGCTCCGATCCTGGAGCCTCAGCCTTCGGGAAGAACTGGTGACCCTCCCCATGCCCCCCTCCCCCTGGCACCGCCCGAGCGGGGCGCGGCCATCGGCTGCACGCAAGAGTGACCCCCCGAGCAAGCGCGACCTTCGACCTCCGATCCCGGGACCTCGACCCTCGGGAGAGGAACTGGTGACCCTCATACTGAGAGGCCTCCAGCATTGTGTCCGAGCGGCTGGGATCGGAGGATCGCGCCGCATCGCTGGTGCATCGGCGACGTCGGCGTGGAGGAAATCGGGCTCCACATCGAGCCGCATCGCCGATGCATCGGCGATGCGGCGCAACCCTTCGACCCCATCTGCACCGGACCCCACCTGGGAGGCCTAGATTTTGGACGCCCGAAATGGGTACGGAAAGAATGGGTGCAATGCCCAACAACAACTGTTGTTCCGAACCAACAGCGGCCGCTGTTGGGCAGGCGGCCTTCTGCCTCACATGGACACAGGCCGCGGCGGCGCGGACAGCGAGTCCTGTTCAAGATGAACAGGAACTGCTGTTGGGCATCGTACCCATTCTTTCCGTATAGTGGGGGCTCGGCCACAAGAAACCTCCGCAAGAAACCCAGCCCTGAAATACGCGATTTGTTCAGTGAAAATCCACATGTGTCGATCGAAAATCGTCAAGATCTGATTGGGAGCCCATCAAAATCCAAGAAACCCAGGGCACCCTGGCAAAATCCAACTGGTTTCTTGGCACGCGCCCCCACTGTACCCATTTAGGGCGTCCAGATAGACTAGTTCCCCCCCCTGGCAGTGCCCGACAGGAGCACAGGTAGGGGATCGTGGCGCGCAAGGGCCCCGGCGATGCGCGCCGCGTTCTCGGCGTCGCCGCACCCGAGCTCGGCGGCGAGCTTCTTGACCCGGCGCTTGGCGTCCTGGCGCCAGGCTTTGCCGGCGGCCCTCTTCCTCTGTTTCCTCCTCCTCTCCTCCTCTACCCTCCTCCTCCTCCTCCCTCATTCCTCCTCCGCCCTCATTCCTCCTCCCTCCCCCCTTCTCCTTCCCCTCCTCCCTCCTCCTTCTTTCCTCCTCCTCCCTCGTCTCTCCTCCCTCCTCCCTCCTTCCTCCTTCCCCCTCTTCCTCCTCCTTTGCCTCCTTCCTCCTTCCTGCTCCCTCCTTCCTCCTTCCCTTCCTCCTCCTGACCATCCATCCATCCTCCCTCGAGATGGCCTCTCGGACGCGGGCAGCCTGGAAAGGGCGAGGGGCCTCTCCTGTTGCCCCCCATTTCCTCCTCTGCTTCCTTCCTTCTCTTCGTGCTGTTGGTCCGCCCGAATGCTCCCTGGAGCTCCGCCGCGGGATCGGCCTGTCTTTAGGCCTCGTCCGCTGACTGCTGGTGGAAGTGCCCATCTGAGCGCGTTTCCTCAAAACTCAAAAGGAGGTCCAGCTGAAAAGGGGGTGGTGCAATAGATTTCGGGCCATTGTATTGCACACGTACTGCGCCGGACAATTGTATTGCATTGTATTGCAAGTAATGTATTGCGCGCAAAAATCCAGCAACACATTTGCGCCCTGGGACGCATGGCGCGCCCAACCCCCACAAATTTATTGCTCCAAATCCATTGCACCACCCCCTTGTCGCTGGACCCCCTTTCAGGTCAACCCGAGCGTTGGCGTTTCCCTTTCGGTCGAGCTGCGGAAGCGGTCCGCCCGATCTCGCCCTGGAACTCCGCCGCTGGATCTGCCTTCCGTCTCCTCGGGGGCCCCGTCGGGGGCCGCGCTCTCTGGCTCGTGTTGAAGGCTTCCTTGTCCCCCGAGTTTCGGCCTCGTTCGCGGGACAGCCTGCTGGCTGGTTCCTCCTCTCCCCCCCCCCCTTTCCTCCCTTCCTCTCTCTCTCCTGGTCCTCGCTGGGCTAGGTTGGGCCTGGGCGGGGATGGACCGCAGCTTTCCGGAGCCATCCGGCTCCACCCGTGCTTGCATAGCTCAGCGCCCTTCAATCCATGATTGCAGCCCTCGACGGGCTCCGGGGGTGCGCTCTGGACCGAGCCACCGGGAGCCGAGCAGCACTGATCTCTGCTCCTCCTGGGGTGGCCCCCTCTCCCTCCGTTCTCTCAGCCTCGCAGCTGCGTCCCGCGCTGACGCGACGAGGCGGCTGGGAGTACGGGCGGGGGTCCCTGTGGGAGGGAGTCGCCGAGGCCCCCCTCCCCAGGCTTTCCCCTCCTCTCCATCGCGCTTGCTTCCAGGGCCAAGGAGCGGCTCCTCCTCCGTGGGCCCAGGAGAAGCGAAGCGCGGGGCCAGGATCGGTCGGGCGTTCTTCGGTCCGTCCCCTGTCCTCCCCCTCCCTTTGCCCTATCCCCGTACGCGGTGCTTCCCCTTTCCCTGAACGGACGCTGCGGGGTCGCGGCAGTCGCCGTCCTTCGGCCCTGCTGCCCTCTGCTAAAGGGGTCGTGCCCGCGCCCGTGCCCGCGCCCCCACAATGCCGCCTCGCTGGGAGGAATCCATCCAAATTCATCCATCCATCCATCCATCCATCCATCCATCCATCCATCCATCCATCCATCCATCCATCCATCCATCCATCCCCGTTCTTTCCTCCTCCTCCCTCCTCTCTCCTCCCTCCTCCCTCCTCCCTCCTTCCCCCTCTTCCTCCTCCTCTGCCTCCATCCTCATTCCTGCTCCCTCCTTCCTCCTTCCTTTCCTCCCTCCTTCCTCGTCCTGACGATCCATCCATCCTCCCTCGAGCTGGCCTCTCGGACGCGGGCAGCCTGGGAAGGGCGAGGGGCCTCTCCCATTATCCCCCCATTCCCTCCTCTGCTCCCTTCCCTCTCTTCGCCCTCGCCTCCCTCCCTCTCCCTCCAAGGGGCCGCGCTGGAGCCCTCGGGCTGCCAGCGGGCCCCCGCGCAGGCCGAGCCCGCCCCACCGCAGAATGACTTTGCATCAGGTGATGCCAGCGATCGTAAAACAACAACGCAAACAAATCAGTTTTTTGTTCAAAAACAAATCACCCAAACGCCATGTACACGATGAAAGGCGGGCGACGAAAACATACAAAATCTCGAAAAAACACACTGTTGTTTATCTTTATGTTTGTTTTATCGGCTTCTGCAAGGCATCTGAAAATTCGAAATTTGCATCCGCTATGGTATAACTGCGCACAACTTTCCTGGAATAACAAATGGAACTTCAAAATAAAGAAAACACCCCAAAAATAAAATCCAAAATTCAAGAAATTTTCTAATAAATAAGAACCAAAAATTACAAACTATTTCTTTTCTATATATGCTGATACAAAAACGCGCGCATAAACATTTCCAAATTAATACTTTTCTAGTAGACGTAATACATTTAACAATTGTCAACACACTTTGAAATCTACGTTAACATGACTGCTGCTGTTGTGTTATTTGAGAATCAAAATCTCATCGTAAAACTGGTGAATTGAACTCGATCGAAATACATTTCGTTAACAGAAATAAAATCTGAACGGACAGCCCGCCCGACCGCTCTGGCGGCTTCTCCCGCTCTCGGGGCCGTGCCGCTCGAGGGGGCCGGCCGGGCGGGGAGACGCCACGCCGACCGCGCCCGCCCGGCCCGCGCGGCATCCACCCCGGGGCGCCAGCCGGGGATGGGCGGCCAGGGGTCGGGAGGCACGGTGGCGCGGGCAAGCGTCAGCCCCCAGAGGGGGCGCCGGCCCGCCGACCGCGACTGCGTTGGCCCACAGGCCCTTCGGGGTGGCGGCGCTCGCGGTGGGGCGGTCATGGCCCCGATGGGGCCTTTCACAGCATGAGCAGTCCCTCCTCGTCCTCCTCCTCCTCCTCCCTCCTTCCTCCTCTTCGTCCTCCTCCTGCTCCTCCTGCTCCTCCTCCTCCCTCCTTCCTCCTCTTCGTCCTCCTCCTGCTCCTCCTCGACCTTCGTCTTTCGTTCTTTCTGTCTTTCTCGGGTTTAGGGCAGAGGTTCGACGCCATCGGGACAGGATGAGAGCAAGATGAGAAAAGGTCTTAACGCCAATGCAGCGGCAACGGCAGAGCAGCAGCAGCCGCAACACGTCAGTGAGATACATGCATCCTCCTGGCTTGAACTCTGTCCTCAGCTACTTAGCGTCCAGCGTAGACGTGAACAGAGCACAGCCGCGGCCCTTCCCAGACGATGTCTGGTACTCTCATATAAGTGTGACGTCACATCCTGGTCGAATGCTTATCAGGCAGCCCCCTCGACCACCTCCTCCTTCTCCTTCTCCTCCACCTTCTTCTTCCTTCCTTCTCCTCCTCCTCCTCCTTCTCCTCCTCCTCCTCCTCCTCCTCCTCCCCCTCCTCCTCCTTCTGCTCCTCCTCCTCCTTCTCCGCCCTCTTCCTTCGCCTCCTCGTCGTCGGGAGGTGGAGGAGGAAAAAGAAGAGAGGACACGAGGGGGGGACGGAGGGAGGAGGAGGAGAGGGAAGGAGGGAGGGATAGACGGAGAACGGAGGAAGGAGGGATGATGATGATGATGGTGATGGTGATGGTGCTGATGATGATGCTTCTGATGCTGATGCTGATGCTGATGATGATGTAGATGTAGATGAACATGAAATGTAAACCGAAACTTATGATGCTGATTATAATGCTGATGCTGATACCGATGATGATGCTGCTGTTGATGATGAGGATGCAGATGACGATGATGACGATGATGCTGCTGCTGATGATGATAGTGATGATAGTGATGATAGTGATGATGATGAGGATGATGACGAGGAGGAGGAGGAGGAGGAGGAGGAGGAGGAGGAGGAGGGGGGGGGAGGAGGAGGTGGTCCAGGAGTGGGAGGAGGAAGAGGTCGAGGATGAGGATGAGGAGCAGGAGGAGGAGGAGGAGGAGGAGGAGGAGGAGGAGGAGGAGCAGGAGGAGGAGGAGGAGGAGGAGGAGGAGGAGGAGGAGGAGGAGGAGGTGGTCGAGGAGTTGGAGGAGGAGGTGTTGGCAGCAGCGTTGCCGAGCCGGGCTGCAACTGCACGGGCATGCGAGGATGCTCTCTCGACGCCGAGGGCGTTCACAAGGCGCCAGGGCGGGGAACGCCGGGGGAGGCTTCCCCCTCGGGCCCCCCCGAGACCCGGCCGAGAGGTCGGCGCGCTCGCTCTCCACAGGGCGCCAACTCCAACATCCTTTTCCCTCGAGCGTCCCAACCTGCGCGGCGGGAAGTGGCGATCAAACTACCCCAATCCGGAACCAGAAAGTGAAACAAGAAGGATGCAGCTGGGACTCAGGGGTCCGGCCTACCCCTTACGCCAACTCCAACATCCCGAACATGGATGGGGCGTGGCTGGAGTCCAGGCTGGCGTCCATGTTGATGGCGCCGTCGGTTGCTCGCTCGCGGGAAAGGATGGGCCGAAAGCAGTGCGGACACGTCCGCAGGACACGCCAGAAGCCAATGCGGAAGGCCCGCGCGCGCGGTGCGAGGGGAAGCCCAGAGCGCCCTGGACGCAGCAGGTTCTCGAACGGACGTGGGAGGTCGTCGCGTAGCGCGCGGAGCGAAGAATCCCGAGGTGCCCTGACGAAACATATCCGGTTTCTTGGTGCGCGGCCGCACTGTACGTGTGCGATCGGGCGCAGCGGCGTGCCCAGCTTCGCTGCAGAAGCGGGGGAAAGGGTGGTATGCTGAAAGCATGATGGATGATGGTGCTCGTGGGCGGTGGTGTGTACCTCGGAGGGGGGCCAGGTCAGGGCGAGCAGCAGGCTTGGTGCGGGAACGGAGCGGGCGAAAGAGAGAACGAGGCAGTCGCCTTCGAACGGCGCGCCGCGCCGAGGAACGGAGGCGCAGAAGGCGCACCACGGCTTCCAGTGTCCTGGGGCACTTCATGCGCTCCGTTTTCCACACTGGTGTTCAGCGACTGCGCTCTGAGTGTCATCGTGTCGGAGAATTCGGTTCGCGTGCAAAACAAACACAACTCTGGAATGGATGTACGGGAGGGCGAGAGAGACCTGATATGATGTGATGTTCGCGCTTCCTGTTTGACCTTTGCCTATCCGGCTCCCTTTTCTGCTCTATCTCGTCCTCTCTTTCCCTCTCTCTCTCTCTTTCTCTCGTCTCTCGCGTCTGTCCCGCCTCTCGTTATTCGTCTTTCGTCCCTCCCTCTCTCTGCATCTCCATATATATTTCGCTCTCTCCTCTTCTCGTGCTTTCTTTTCTCATGCTCTGTCTCATGATGTCAGCTCTTCTCTCTCTCTCTCTCTCGCTCTCTGTCTCTCCCTCCTCCCTAATCTCTCTCGCCCCCCCTCATTCGAACGCTGTCTCATCACCTCCAACCGCTCCATCTGGGGCGAGGAGGGGGGGCAGCGACTCCTGCGGCTTCGCCTCCAGCGGCGTCAACTGGACCTGGGGGCCCGCAGCCCGTCGCTTCGATAATCCCTGCCACTGCCTGGCAACCGTGTCCTTAAGCAGGGGCGGGGGCATAGGTAGTGCAACAAGATCTTGGCGTCCGCGTCCCCAATCCCGTGCCCAGCATAGTTTTCCGCCATCCTGCCCAGCGCAAGCTCACCAGATATGCACAGGACAGAAAAGGAACAGAAATGGCAAGATTCCTCAGAGCGTACAAGAAGCGCGGGGCTGCCTCAGTCAATGTTCCTTTGCTTGACCTCTGATTTTTTTTATCCGTTCGTGCAAATCCATGTGATCCTCCATTGTCAACAGGCTGGTGAGGGTGACATTACCTGCGACGATGTCACAAATCTGTACAAATGGTCGGTCCGGGCGTACCTCGGATAGGCAATAATTTGGCGCGGCGCAGCCGCGAATGTTAAATCAATGTGGCGGGAGCCACAAGGGCCAGGAATTTTGTCCGCGATGTTCAGCGCGGAGCTGTACAAGACTTTGGGCCAGCCTGGGCTGGAGGAGGATCAATCAATATTCCTTTGCTTGACCTCTGACATGTGTTACCCGTTCGTGCAAATCCATGTGATCCTCCGTTGTCAACAGGCTGGTGAGGGTGACATTACCTGCGACGATGTCACAAATCTGTACAAATGATCGGTCCGGGCGTACCTCGGATAGGCAGTAATTTGGCGCGGCGCAGCCGCGAATGTTAAATCAATGTGGCGGGAGCCACAAGGGCCAGGAATTTTGTCCGCGATGTTCAGCGCGGAGCTGTACAAGGCTTTGGGCCAGCCTGGGCTGGAGGAGGAAAATCAAAACTGCGCAAACAAAGCTCATCGGAATTGCGTTTGCAGCTCACCAACTGGGCCACAGCTCATTGACATAACTTAGCATGCTGGCGAAGGTGCTGCTGGAGTCTTCGTCAGCATGCTTGTCCCGAGCATTGTCGGCTAAGCTCTCCTGGATGTCATCGTCCATCACATCCTCCAGTGTGGCATCTTCTGCCAACTTCTCCTGGAGGACATCGTCCGTCAAGCGCTCGCTGCTCGTTTCGACGCAATGAACATATTAGGGCGAGGTGCTGCGCGTCATAAGATGCATGCTGGGGCTGCGCCATTCCATGCGCCACTCGGGCAAATGGGCTGCACCGCGCTCATCCTTAACGCCAGACGCATCAAGAGCCGGGAACCGAGAGAAAAACGCCCATGTCCTGCCACGCTCATACCACAGGCGGAACTTGAGGGCAGCTGAGATGCAGCACGTCGTCTTCCGGCCAACGGTCTTCTGCACCTCGCTGTCCATGTGAAGCTCGCGCACCCAAATGCTCTCGCCTTCTTGGCGTAGCCACCTCCACACGTGGATTTGTCCATCCCCGCTGCGGCAGAAGCTGACGTGGAGCGCCTCCTCTACCAGAACGACCCCACGGACGTCGTTCCTTGGAAGAGGGGCGATCGCGGGACTCCCAGGGAACGCCATGAGGTGTGTGTGGGTACAGTCACGAAGGCTTTCATCGCTGAGCACACCCATCACTTCACCAATGCCCAGCTTCACGCAAACGAGCCGGTTCACCCAAGACATTGGCACTTCTGTGGTCGGCGTAGAATGCTGAAAGCTGTCGTGGGCGTTAAGCTGGAGCTGCGCAATGTCATCGGCGATGAGTGCTTCTTCGAAGCTCTCGTTGAGGAAGTCGAAAGCGTTGCCGCCACGCACGTGGATCACGTCACCGCCAACCGTCTCACAGGCCAGATCAACGACGTCCATGTTGTAGAAGATTCTCCCATTGGAGCCAGGAATGTCGGACATGAGCGTGAAAAGGACTGGAGGATCGATTGTCAACGGACAGAGCGTCCAGCCTACCTTGCCAAGCGAAAGCAGCAAGTTGAGCCTGAACTTGAGTCACGATGGCTTCGGACCCTTACTTAACCTCTGATATGATGTCCTCGAGCTCAACGCCACTTCCCTTTCCATGCGGACTACTCATGAGGTCAATACCTTCCCGTGTAGAAGAGACCACACACAATCCCACAACAAACTCATCACGGAGGTCAGAGTCCTTCCGTAGAACAGCGCTCCCGAGATCAATGTCTTGCCCGCAAGAGGCAGCACTCTGTTTTCCTGAGTAGAAGATCCGCCACTGTGCCTTGTACGCGCTGAGTTGTGGAAGAATGCCAAAGGCTGTCTGGTAGGGGTTCGGAATTTTCATAAGCGGGGTCCCCCTGCCAACATAATCTGCATGCATCGCCCACCCATCCCGACGCCACGATCCCTCGCACAAAAACAACGAGCCACGCTCCTGAGGCCGCGATCCATTGTAAACAAATACCATCCGCGCCCCGAGCTTCCAATGCGGCAAATGCAGGCAACCAAGGACACCAAGACGGCCCAAGCGGCCTCGAAGACGGCCCAAGATGGACCCAATGTGGCCAATCATGACCTCAGGACGGCACGCGATGCCTCTAAGAGGGCGTCAAATGGCCACAGGGGGACCTCCAACAGGGCCCGAAGAAGCCACTATCATTGAGTACCATTGATTTTGCATGATTTTCACATTCTCGCCTTTTCGGGCTTCCGTCCGCTCAAGACGGCCCACGATGCCTCCACGATGGCCCCAAGACGGCCCAAGAGGCCCTCGAGAGGACCCAAGGTAGTCCAAGAGGGCCCAAGATGCATCCAAAACGGCCCCCAGACGGCCTGTCGACGGCCTAAGACGGCCCCCGGGCACCCTCCATACGGCCAAGAGGGCCCCAAGACTGCCAAAGAGCGCCCCGAGACGGCGTGCGAGGGTGGAGAGGGAAGGGCATGGGCAGGGGACGGGGGCTCTGCGCAGCGGGAGAGGGCGGGGGGCAGGGGGAGGTGCAGGAGAGGGCAGGGGAGATGCAGGAGGAGGAGGAGGAGGAGGAGGAGGAGGAGGAGGAGGAGGAGGAGGAGGCAGACTGGGAAGTGGCTGGGGGGGCATGAACTGTCCGCCCCCTTGCTCCTGCAGTGCCGTCCGCTCTGGCACCGCTTCACGTCACCTGCCCGCCGCTTCAGGAGGGACGCGCACCACCTGTGAACCAGTCCCCGCCAGAATCTCGCTGGGGCCCTCAAAGAAAAACGCGCGAGGGGAGGGAGAGGGCAGGAAGGTGTGGCGGGGGGGAGCGGGAAGGCAGGATGGGGCACGAGAGCGAAAGAGGAAGCGAGAGAGAGAGGGAGAAAACGAGAGAGAGAGAGAGAGAGAAATGAATAGAGAGAGACGGCGAGGGGAATTTCCGGGGAGACCTCCCCTCCACCTCGAGGGGGCGTCGGAAAGGATCTCTCCGGGACCCTCCCTTCCGGGAGTGGAGGCCTCCCGAAGGCCTCAAGGAAACCCCTGTGGGCACGGAGGAGGAGGAGGAGGAGGAGGAGGAGGAGGAGGAGGAGGAGGAGGGAGGAGGAGGAGGAGGAGGAGCACCCTGGGCGGCCTTGCGGCCACTGCCGTCAGCGCCCTTGTCCGCCCTGCGCGCGCCACGATGCCCGCCAGAGGACACAGCCTGCAAGGCCGGCTGCGTCGGGCCTCCTCCTCCTGCCGTTGCTGCTGCTGCTCCTCCTCTCCTCCTCGTCCAACATATCCTCTTCGTCTATCCTAAACATCCTCCGTCTCCTCCTCTTCCCTTTTCCTCGTCCTCCTCCTCCTCCTCCTCTTCCTCCTCCTCTTAATTCACCCCTTCTCCACCTCCTCCTCCTCCTCCTTCTGCTGTTACCTCCCCCTCCTCATGCCCCATTCCCCCTCCCCGTCCCTCCTTGTCCTGTCTACGCCTCCTCCACCCCCGTGGCGATGACAAAGAACTGGAAGAGGATGACCATAATGGTGATGGTGATGCTAGGTGTGACGGTGATGATGATGCGTGGTGGTGGTCATGGCGATTGTGATGACGATGAAGAAAGACAAACTCAATTTATGAGAAACATGTGTAGACGGAATCAGAGCATGAAGACGGAGGACGACGACGAGGAGGGAAGACGAGGAAAATGAACGAGGGAGGAGAACGTCGCAACGATCGCAAATCTCCTCGCTTACCCGGAAGCCGAAGCGGCAAACACAGAAAGATAATCAACGGCAATAACGAGGGGCACAACTCAAATAACTCATAATATCTATCATGATAATTTGAACCAGCAGCCGGGAAGGGACACACTTGTTCACCGTGTTCGCCAATGTGGTGGCGTGCGAAAACTGCCGACACTTGTCCAACACCTGAGAGGCAATACGCTTGCTCAACACTTTCGTCTTCAGCTTGATGGTTTGACGCACCCGACGCAACGTACCCATCAGCCCGAAAGGGATGGACTTGAGCGGCGCTGTCGTATTAACCTTGGTGGCTTGCGACACCCGTCGGAACTTGTGCAGCAAGGGAGAAACGCTTGCTCAGCGCTTTCGACTTCAGCTTAGTGGCAAGCGACGCCCGCCGAAACTTGTCCAGCGCCCCAGAGGGGGACACACTTGCCCATCGCTTTCGTCTTCAACTTGACATCTTGACGCAGTAAGTGGGCCGCGCCCAACAGGAACAAACACACTTGCTCGGCGCTTCCAACATCACCACTGGCCACACTTGCTCAGCGTTCCGACGTCAAGCTTCTGGCTTGCAACGCCATGATCAGGAGTATCAACAACAAGAACATGATAATCTCGATCAACATCTTCAAGAACCCCTAGTCGCCGAAGGCCTGGAAACTCGCGTTCTGCATGGAACGCCCAATTCGCGATGTGCTGCAGGCAGTTCTCCTGGGAGCTTCCGGGAGCTCCTGGGAGCACAAGACGCTCCCAGAAGGCCCCTGGAGCGCCCCCAAGAGAGCCCAAGAAGCAAACATCGTCGCACTCCCTCCGAGAAACGTGCGCTATTAGCATACTTGCACGTTTCTACCCCCTAGCGGCTCCAGAATGCTCGAAGAAGGGCCCAAAAGAGGCCCCAGAGGGGGAACACGACCGGACATTTCGAGCCCTCCGCCCCAAGACGACCTCCGAGACCGCCAGCAGGCCTCAAGAAGCCCCCCAGACGCTCCAGGAGGCACCAAAGAGGCCCAAATCAGGCCCCAAGATGCCACCAAGCTTCCACCGAGAGGCCCCAAAGACACCCCACACCCACCTCCAAGAGGCTTCGGAGAGGCCTCCCAAGATATCCTCACAGGCATCCAAGAGTCCTCTGGGTTGCAACCAAGGCAAGGTGGCGGGATGGGCCGAAGGCCATTTGATACTTCAAAGCAGATGACACCGCTTCGCGAACTTGTTGAATTGACGGCCGATGCACGAATCGATTGGAAGACATCTCGACACAAATTTACATAAAGATCGAGCGAAGATCAGCCACACCTGTCACTCCCCGAAATCAGATGGCGGGAGATGGAAACGAGGGCCCAAGAAAGGCCGCCAAACTGTCTCAGGGTGGCCACCAGAACGCTCCGCGAGGCAACAGTGCCGGCACCAGTGCCCAGCTACGGTCGGGCATCTCTGCTTACCGTGTCGCGGCGGCGGCCCCAGCGACACACTATGCCTTGCGAGTGGATAGCGTATCGAGGAGGAGGAGGAGGAGGAGGAGGAGGAGGAGGAGGAGGAGGAGGAGGAGGAGGAGGAGAGAGGGAGGGGGAGGGGGAGGAGGAGGAGGAGGAGGAGGAGGAGAGAGGAGGAGGAGGAGAGGAGGAGGAGGAGAGGAGGAAGAGGAGGAGGGAGGAGGACTCGGGGCGCTGACGCTCGGCGACTGGGCCGTGGATGGCGTGCCGCTCCAGAGCGTGGTGGGCCAGAACTCGTCCTCCTCCTCCTCCTCCTCCTCCTCCTCCTCCTCCTCCTCCTCCTCTCCTGCCCCTCGCCCCTTCCCCTGGCCCCCGCCCCTTCCCTCCGCCTCCGCCCCTTCCTCCGTGGGCTCGCGAGGGCGGCTCCAGAAGGCCGCGCGCGCTGGCCAACCCCTGCCGCACACGCCAGGCGCGCAGGGGGAGGGCGCACCAGCCCGAGCGAGAAGCGGACGCATTCGCGTGCAAGAACAAGCACAAACAATGGAGGGATGAGCGCCCGCGCCAGTCAAGCAGCAGAAGCTCCGGGGCCTGCTGCTGCCGGCGCGCACAGGAGGGAGGGAGTCACCTGCAGGAGGATGGGAGGGAGGGAGTGGGGACCGTCCAAATTTTTCGCCACAGCGTAGAGCAACTGAACACCTCACTCTCAAGCAGAACAACTGAACACTTCACTCTCAACCGCTATATATCACCACAACGAAGCTGCTCCACAACGTGAGACGGAGGGTGGAGACCGCCCACATGGTGTCGGAACACATGGGGTCGCAGGGTCGCAATGCATCGACGATGCACTGGCGATGTTGGCGCGGAGAGAGGCGGGCTCCGAATCGAACTGCGTCGCCGATGCATCTGTGATGCGGCGCGATCCTCCGACCCCATCTACTCTGGCCCCCCTATTGGGTCGGCCTGGGGGGAGGGAAGAAGGAAAAAGGGATGGATGGATGGATGGATGGATGGATGGAGGATATTTGTGATCGTCCAGTAATGCCGAACGTGCCAGCGGCGAAGCAGAACGGAGCGAAGGAAAGAGGAAGGTAAGTGGCAAGGAGGAATGGAGGAAAAAGGGAAAGAGGGAGGAAGAGGAAGGAGGAAGGGTGGGGAAGAGGAACGAAGGCAAGGGAGGCAGGGATGGATCACTGACCACACTGCCAAGTGTGCGAGCGGGCCGCCGCTGAAGATTTCTTCGGGCGAGTCATGGATCAGCCGAAGAACTGCCAATTGGGGACGCCCAGTTGTTTAGGAATTAGGGGGGGGGCGAGGCAAGCAGGCAGGCAGGCAGGACCCGTGCCGCCTGGGCCGGCCTGTACGCCAGCATGAGGTCCGCCCGCGCGCGGGCCGCCCTCGCGTTCTCGTCGCCCTCGCGGTCGTTGCCTTCGCTGGCGGCGTCTGGCGCCGGGCTTCTCTTCTCCTGGTGCGCAGGAGGGGGAGGGGCCAGGGAGGGGGAAAGGATGATCACGAGGAGGAGGATGATAATGATGATGAGGAGAAGGATGAGGAGGATGAGGAGGAAGAGGAGGAGGAGGAGGAGAAACTATACTTGCGGGGGCTGGAAGCTGCATGAGAGAAAGCAATCAGATGTATAGTGCGGGGCTTTTACTCATATGCAGTCATCCAGTAAGACGATATGCGCTCGGGCCAAACAGCGGCCACCTCTCTTACTTGAGTCAGGATTGTGTGGGCGATCGAACAGCCATGGTGGAGAAGGGAGACCAAAGGAAAAAGGGAACTAGAACTGTCCAGCCATAAGCACATTCTAGACTCGGCAGGGAGACGCCGTCGCTGTCTGACCTGACGGGCGCGCGCGTGAGGGCGCAAACTCATCCACTGTACTGGTGGGAGGAAAAGGAGGAGAAGACGAGGAACACCAATCTCCAAGAAGTGCCAGTACTAAACATCCCGACCTTTCTACACATGCGATGAACAAATCACGTCGTGCGGAAGGGCAACGATTTGTGAACGGCCCACGCCCTCGGAGGCGCCCTTCGCGGGCCCCCGCACCAGCCCTGCGGTACTAAAGGGCGATAGCCGCTGCGCTAAGGAGAAGAACTGATAGGCACTGACGCGCGGACAGGGGGAGGGAGGAGGGCGAGGGATGGGGAGGAGGAGGAGGGGGAGGCGGAGGACGCGGTTGGAGGGAGGGAGAGATGGAGGACAGGCGGGCGGGCGAGGGCAAGGAGGAGGAGGAGGCGGAGAGTCAGGCGAAAGATGATGATGCTGCTGATGCTGATGGTGCTGATGCTTCTATGATGTGGCTTGGTGTGATGTGGTAGCATGTGATATGATGTCACAAGGTAAGATGCTACGTGATCGCGCCCAACAGACAGGACGCCTCGAGGAGCGAGAGAGGCGGGAGAGCTCCGCGGGCTCCTGCGCCACGGCAGCGCTGGGGATGCAACCCGCCTGCGCCTGCCGGTGCGGCCAGTCACGCTGCGCACGGCCGTGCAGCCCAGCGCGCTGGAAGGGCGTGCGCCTCGGCTGCTGTGCGTCGAGCCGTTCCTCTCGTGGGTGCACCGCCCCCTCGGGCGTCGGCCTGGGCTCCCGGCCCGCTGGCCAAAGGTTCGAGCGCCCGACCTTGTCAGACGCGCTGCGCCTCCCCCGCGCGCCTCCAGAAAGTATGGGAGGGAGGGGCAGGACGTCAGGTGTGGCGCGACCGCGTCTGGCGCATCGGCACTCGACCCCGCGAAACGAGGAGGAGGTCGACCCGATGTCGGGGGTTGCTACAAGGTACCCCTGGTCCAAGGTGCCCTCAGCTTTTCGCTCAATTTTGGAGCCCCTGGGCCCCCTGGGCCTCGTGAGGGGGTGCTCTGGAGGCCGTGGGGCCGTCGGGCTTCCTTCCTTTCCCCTCTTCTCCCCCTCCTTCCCCCTTCCTTCCTTCCCTTCTCCCCTTTCTTCCTTTCCCCCTTCCCCCGCCGTGGGCATCAGGGTTGGGCCCCGCCCCATCCCTGGCGCATCGGACCCAACTTGCGTTCCGCTTTTCGAGCTCCCTGCGTTTTCTCGGATCCCCAAAACCGCACAATCCCAAGAAGAAGCGCTTGGGCCCCAACTCTTCCTCTCACTCTCTCTCTCCTCCTTCTCCTCCTCCTCCTCCTCCTCCTCCTCACCACCACCACCACCATCATCACCATCACCATCACCATCACCATCACCATCACCATCACCATCACCATCACCATCACCATCACCATCACCATCACCATCACCATCACCATCACCATCACCATCACCATCACCATCACCATCACCATCACATCCATCCACCATCACCACCATCATCACCATCATCACCATCATCACCATCATCACCATTATCACCACATCATCACCATCATCACCATCATCACCATCATCACCATCACCATCACCATCACCATCACCATCACCATCACCATCACATCATCATCATCATCATCATCAATCATCATTCATCATCATCATCATCATCATCATCATCATCATCATCATCAGCATCAGCATCATCATCATCGTCATCGTCATCGTCATCATCATCATCATCATCATCAGCAGCAGCAGCAGCAGCAGCATCATCACCATCTTTTTCCTTCCCATGTTTTTTTTCCTTCCTCCTCCTCCTCCTCCGTCTCCTCCTCCCCCTCCTCCTCATCCTCCTACTCCTGCTCCTGGTCCTCCTTCTCCGCCTCCTCGTCCCCCTCCCCCTTCCCTTTCGCCCCCTCCTGCCCTTCCCCTGGATATCCTGCAGTATATCCTCGAAGGCCGCCGCGGCGGGGCATCGCGGCGTGGACACCGGAGACCTGGCGCGTCACGGCCCCGCTGGGGGGGGGGAGGAACGGAGGCGGTGAGGTCGGGAAGGGGAAGGGCGGGTGGGAGGGAAATGAAGGATTAATATGGCGAATGAGGAGGAGGCGGATGAGGAGGAGGAGGGGGAGGAAGGGGATGATGAAAAGGAGGAGGAGGAGGAGGAGGAGGCGGCGGACGAGGAGGAGGAGGAGAAGGAAGAGAGGAGGGGCAGAAGGATAGGAGGAGGAGGAGGAGGAGGGGGAGGAGGAGGAGGAGGAGGAGGAGGAGGAGGAGGAGGAGGAGGAGAAGGAGGAGGAGGAGGAGGAGGAGGAGGTCTCGTGGTTGTCCCGCGGCTGCCCGGTGTGTTGTCCTGCGATTCTCCTGTGGGATGTCCCATGGGTGTCCTGTGGATTGCCCCGAAGGTTATCCCCTGGGCTGCCCCGCGGGTTGTCATGTGGCTGTCGCGGCAGTTGTCCCGCAGGAATTGCACATCCAAATGCACTCGAAATAATAATCAAGCTGCAATTCAAATGCAACTGAACACGAAGATCAAGCTGCAGATGGATACGCGCATCGATGTGCAAACGGAATGCAACTCACCATGATGTAAGTCCACATGCAGATCTAGCTGCACATCGAAACGCAATCCGTATGCACGTCGGACTTCGAATTTAACATGTTTTTGTTCTTTCTTTTTTTCTTTTTTTCCAGGTGGATGGGGAAGATGGGAGTGGACCGCGTGACGGAGTCTCCACCTGCACATCGACATGCAGATCGCGGTGAACACCGGAATTTACATCGAAATGGAGGCCACAATGCACGTCGACCTGCAAACCGAGACGCACATCCGAATCACTTTGGAAATGCGCACGTCGAAACGCAGATCCGATGGCGAAACAAAAGCAACCGCAATGCACGTCGACATTCCCTGTGGTCCAGACTTCTGGAATCCCGTTGGAGGGGTGGGGGAGGGGCGGTGCACGAGCTCCCCAACGCTCCTCCGGGGTCCTCGGAGCCTCCAGGTCCACCTCCGTGACCTCCAAAATGCCCAGTACATATGCCTTCTGAGATGTCTAAAGGAGGACTCCAGCATGCTGGAGAGGTCTCAAGAACATCCAAGATGGCTGCAAGACGGCCTAAGAAGCGCCGAAGACGCCCCAAGAGGGCCCCAGGAGGACCCTCAAGAAGAATTTCCAATCAATTTTTGCATATTCTCGCGTTCTCGCTTTCTCGGGTTTATAAAAGCCCAAGACGGCCCGAGAGGCCCCCAAAACCGGCCCAAGAGGCCTCCAATAGGGCCCTGAGACAGCCCAAGAGGCCCCAATACTGCCCAAGAGGCCACCAAGATGGGCATGAAAGCACTGAAGAAGGCTCCGAGAGGGACCCAAGAGGGGGAACTCGTAGGGGTCCGGGGAGCCATTTCTCGCAAGATGACCCCCAAGACTCCCAACATGCCTCCAGGAGGCCCCCCCAAGGGACACCCAAAGATGCTAGTAACCCGGAAAAGGCCCCAAGAGACCGCAAAGGCCACATGCGCCGAATGCGAGGCCTTTGGGAATGTCCGAGTCAGGTAGGGAGAGGAAAATACATCAGAGTGAAGGGGCCGAACGGTCATTCATTGTCCCTGGGTGCGTGGCTAAAATGAGAATCTGTGGTGAAGATTCAATTTGTTGCGTTGTTGTTGTTGTCGTCGTTCCACCCGCGACCCACCCGTGACCCCACCCGCGACCCACCCGCGACCCACCCCGCGACCCACCCGCGACCCACCCGCGACCCACCCGCGACCCACCCGCGACCCACCCGCGACCCACCCGAGACCTGCCCCGCGACCCACCCGCGACCCACCTGCGACCCAACCCGTGAGCCACCCACATTGTTTGAACAAAAAATCGGCGCCTGCGGCGGGCTCGTCCTACAGTTTGAAAAATTCTGCGCCCGCGGCGGGCTTCTTCAGAGCCTCGCAGACTGCCGACGTACCCGCCGCCCCCTCACTCTTATCCGCAACCGCGGGGTGCTACGTGTGTGTATATATATATATGTATGTGTATCATAGTGAGGGGGCCGAGCGGTCATTCATTGTCCCTGGGTGCGTGGCTAAAATGAGAATCCATGGCGAGGATTCTGCTTATTGCATTGCTTTTGTTGTTTGTTGTCGTCGTCCCACCCGCGACCCACCCCGCGACCCTCTCGCGACCCAACCCGCGACCCACCCGCGACCCACCCGCGACCCACCCCGCGACCCACCCGCGACCCACCCGCGACCCACCCGCGACCCACCCGCGACCCACCCGCGACCCGGCCCGCGACCCACCCGCGACCCACCCGCGACCCACCTGCGACCCAACCCGTGAGCCACCCAGATTGTTTTAACAAAAAAATCGGCGCCTGCGGCGGGCTCGCCTTATAGCTTGAACAATTCTGCGCCTGCGGCGGGCTTCTTCAGAGCCTCGCAGACTGCCGACGTACCCGCCGTCCCCTCACTCTTATCCGCAACCGCGGGGTGCTACGTGTGTGTGTGTGTGTGTGTGTGTATATATATACATATATTTATATATATATAGTATAAGTATATATATATATAGAGAGAGAGAGAGAGAGAGAGAGAGAGAGAGAGAGAGAGAGGGAGAGAGAGAGACACACAGAGGGAAATAGAGAGAGAGAGAGAGCGAGAGAGAGACAGAGGGAGGGAGAGGGAGCGGGAGAGAGAGAGAGAGAGAGAGAGAGAGAAAGAAGAAGAAGAGGAACCTGTGTATATATGTATATATATATATGTATGTATATGTAGGCATGTGTGTCAAAACATGTAAAACAAAACCGCTGTACGCATCATGATCCCCCATTGCTCGTTGGCTACATGCATGCACGCGTGCGTTTTCACAGCGTTTGAGCGGGGGCCCCGCACCAGGCCGTCCACGCGACCGTTGTCTTCGTCCAATCTCTTCGGCGCACTCGTCTCCACAATCTCTTCCGAATCCCTCGATGCTTCCTTCCCAAGATGACTTTGAAACTCTCATTCTGCTCAACTACCTTCGTCTACAACACCACACCCAATACCCAGCAGGCTTTATCTCCAACGCCACACCCACTACTCAATAGGCTACCTCCCCAGAGGGAACTTGGAAACACCCTTCTGGCAAACTCCTTCCGTTCCACGACCATACCGACTAGTCAACAGCTGTCGTCCCAAACACCACACCCACTACTGAACAAGCTCCACCCCCACGATGAGCTTGAAACCACCCTTCTACCCACTTCCCCCCGTGTCCGACGCCACACCCATTACTCAACAGCCCTCGCCCCCAACACCACATCCACTATTCAACAGGCTCCATCCCCAACGTGGCAAGAACACATCCTTCTATTCAACCCTCTCGGTATCCAACACCACACTCAATATTCAGCCGTCTTTCTCTCCAACACCACGCACGAGCGCGTTTCATGCATGGAAATGTGTATGATCCGTACGTTTCTCGCATTCAATGTTGCGGCTCACGTTTCAAAACCCTGCCGTTCTCCAGCACCACACCCACCACTCAACAAACTTCGTCTCAAACATCGCACCCGCTGCTGAACAACCTCCCCTCCGAATAAGAACTTGAAACTATCCTTCTGCACCGCACCCAATACTCAACAACTTTCGATTCCAACACCACACCCGCTACTCAACAGGCTCCATACCCAAGGTGACATTGGACACGTCTTTCTGCTTAACTCCCCCCGTCTCCAACGCCACACCCCATACTCAACAGCCGTCGTCTCCAACGCCACAACCACTACTCAAAACGGCTCCCTCCCCAATCTGAACATGAACATCGCCTCTTAATCAAGCCCTTTTGGGTCACCGCCACCAAGCCCAATATTGAACAGCCGTTCCCCCCACTACTACTGCCACTACTCAGCCTGCTCCCCCTTCAAGGTGAACCTGAAAGTGTCCTTCTACTGAAATGTTGTGATCTCCAACACCACACGCGTTACTCAACAAACACCCTCCCCAAACCTAACCTTCTACGCCACAACTTCCGCGTTCTGCACCACACCGCACCATGATCTTCCGTTCTCTTCCAAGAGCCAAAAGGAAAAGAGGCGGTCAGGGTGCACACATTGACCCAACATACACATGTGTATATGTATACAGTCATTTTCATATATATATATATATATATATATATATATATATATATATGCACGGATGTGTTTGTATGAATTCATGGACATATACGCTCATGTACATATATATATAGAGAGAGAGAGAGAGAGAGTGAGAGAGAGGAAGAGAGAGACAGAGAGACAGAAGAGAGCGATGGGAGAGAGAGAGAGAGAGGAGAGATAGAGAAAGAGAGAGAGAGAGAGAGAGTGAGAGAGCGAGAGAGAGAGAGAGAAGAGAGAGAGAGGGAGAGAAAGAGAGAGAGGAAACAAAGAGAGAGCGAGAGAGAGAGAGAGAGAGAGAGAGAGTAAAAGACACGCCATCACAACGCTTGTCTGGTTCGTGTCAACGTCCCTCCGGCATCCGCGGGCGCGCGCCGTGCCTCCGAACGATCCTCGCCGTGCGCCCGCTGCACCTCGGCAGCCCAAGCCACCAAGCTGAGGCCGCCAAAAGGCAGCCGCACCCGACATCAATCCCTAAAGGGAGGAGGAGGAGGAGGAGGAGGAGGAGGAGGAGGAGGAGGAGGAGGAGGAGGAGAAAGGCGGCCTCCACCCGACAGCAACCTGTCCCTAAAGGAAGACTGCGCTGCCGTCCTCCAGAGCAGTCGTGGCGTCGACCGAGCAGTCGCTGCATACGACGGACTCGTTCACGCGGTACCAGATACCATCAGCACTGCTCCAGCCAACGCGGGCTCGGGAGCGAGCTGATGAGACTCTGCTGGAAAAGCCAGATCAGCTGCACCGTGCTGCGCTACCCCCTCACGCACAACAGGGCCTCAGAACATGACCCACCAGGAGTCACGGTCGACACCGATGCCCACCAGGGCAAAGGCAGGGCCCCTCTTATGAGCCTCGATGCACAAAACTGGAG